TAAATGGCTGTGCTGAAAAAATTAAGGAAACAATGCACATTTTCCCACATGCAAGAGCTTTTAATATTAATTTGCGAGTTTCTGAACCCACACGCACACATCATGCCACACGTTAAACAAAGCCTTTACAGCCTAGGGTGTGTTACGCACTAGTAAGCAGAGTAACATAAACGTCTGGATGGTTCTGCATTCTTTTAGCATATTTGTTCTCTCTTTGATAATTTTGCTTATGAGGAATGTCTGCAATACAGACTTATTATTTACATCTTAAGATGCCTGAACATACACTTCTGCTAATTTGCCTATTATAATAATGTCAAAGTGAGTTACACATCTTTTACTTGCATTACTGTAACCACACCAACAGATGGGGCTTCATAGTCACACCACATGCCTCCTCTTTTAACGCCAAGATCGATGTGACACGTACAGTAGGTTACCTGTGCCTTGCAAAATTTCAAAAATGTATTCGTATTTATACATAATTATATATACTATATATAATTCGCTTCAATTTGCAACTGAAATGAACAACAGATGTACTAAAATTATCAACTTTTATACTTCTCAGTGAACCCCTATCAACTTTATTTAAGGCTGTAAATAAGTTTACAATTACCTCTGCAGGGTCACTTGCACAATGCTATTATCTCCTCAAAAACGTTTACCACAGAGCATGATTTGTAAACGTATATTCTGTACCGTTTTCATAACATATTTGTCTTCATATCTGTAATTTCCCGTCAAGTCGTTCGTTTTCGCACCTAGTGCGCTTGAGATGAGGAGCGTTCGAAGCCAAGTCCTGTGAAACACCGTTTGACAAAATCACTTAAAGTTAAATAATTGAAAGCATTGCTAGTTTAGCTGATAGGGTACATTTATATCGTTCTGTCTGTCAGTTACGTTTTAGATTAAATAAAGTGTAGTTATTTTGTAATCATGGCAAATAAATAACCTTTATGCGCACTCAAGACACCTGATTTCCAAACTGCCGCGATACGAAATAAATGGTCGAAGGAGGTTTTCGCAGCGGTGCCATAGATTAATTTAGCCAATACTCCCACGAAAAACGTTCATTGAGCATTTCTTTATAGAAACATATTATATTTTCTATTTTTCCATTTTTAATAATCATTTGACCAATGGCCTAATAGTTCTATTCGTGTTAAATAGTTTTCATGGAACCATACATAAAGAATCTTTTGTTTAAGTATGCTCTCTAAAACGTTTCCATATTTATTTCTGAGAAAACTTTGCCCACTGGATATTTCACTTTGAAACTGTTGCGAGAAAAAAAGTAATATGCGTTTTTTCCATGGGCCTGGATTGATAAATGCAGAAGAATAATTGCACAAATGAAACTTTAAATTTTGGGGCTGAAATAAGATACAGACATAATATCTTGATTGGATTACTAGACTAGGCCTTTAGCCTATATTGCAGCGCCATCAGTCTCTGTTTTCAGAAGCAAATGAGTGACAGGTTGGATGCAGAACTTAACTGAACTAGGTCATATATGCTAATCTAATCTAAGTCTTTTAATATTCGTATACGGCCATGATGAGAGCTTATGCCATCACAACAGGATAATGCACAAGGATCTTAACAAACAAGCAAATCCATACTTTTTTTTTCCTTTTGATACTTGGTTAGTTTATTTGCTCAGATTTCCTTTCTTGGTCCAATCCCTAGAAGGAAATATGGTTGCTTGGACCATGTGGTAAAACAAATCTTTCGAAGCTTATTTAGAGAAAACTGACATCATGTGAACATAGAGATATAGGTAATGGGAGGGATGATCCATGTGATGGGAAAGAAATGTGACATATAGTGAAAGACAACGGGGGGCAAAGGGTAGTTAAATAAATGGAAGAAAGGTAATGTGCGTTGAGAGAGAAAAAAGAAAAGAAAGAAAAGAGAGAGAGCGCGCATTAAAGGTTTCAATACTGGTCACCAGTGTGAAAAGGCCATGCCAGTCTGGATAAGGATCAGTGGGGTTACATGCCCATGAGGCCAGTGCTGTCTGCCCTAGCATACAGGGGGTCGGACTTGGTGCCATATCAGGGAAAGTCCTGAAGTACACACAGTAATATGAGCTAAATAATCTCTGCCTCTCACTCACAAGATAAAGAAGAAAGAGTAGGAAAGTAGAGAAGAGAACTCCAGTCGATACATCAAAACCTCTGCGAGTGAGTTAGTGGGGATATCAGCCATGGTTTAAAAAGCAAACAGGCATTAATTTCCACAGAGAACAAACTAGACATCATTTTACCTGAAACAACGTATCACACATGATCGTTTTTTTTAAGCCTGTTCATATACAGTAAGTGACTTTGATTTTGCCTTTGTTGTCTGCAAGAGACCATGCCAAGCACAGTTTGGCCAATATTGGCAAAAATACAAATCAGGCCCTTCTCTAAATAGGCCTACTAAAGGGAATTCTCTAAAATATTTACTTGAAAGAATATAATATAAAGAACATAGGCTAATATACAGGCCAAAAATTATTTATTTTAAATTGATTTATTTAATAATAAACAAAATAAATAAATAAATTTTCTATAATTTACTGGATCTTGACTGAAATTAAAAATATATCGATTAGCCATTATTAGCTACATGGTGTTAACAAGTACGACAACAATTTGTATTTTCTTTTTCTTTTCGTAAATTAATCAATCAGATAGTTCAAAACATAGCAACAGTTATGTAAACGGGTGGGCAGATAAGTCTGCGTTTTAAAAAAAAAACACTCGAATTGCATTTTGATAAAAATAAAACAATATTAGGCCTAATATTTATTTTTCATAAATAACAGTGGCCTAAAAATAAACAATATGCTTTAAATGACTACTGAAATTCCTGTTCTGTCTCATAACATTGTTCGTGAAATAATTTAACAAAGTTCTCAGTTTTACGCTATTTAACAATTTTAAACAGCGGAAAACAATTAGGATTTGATCTCACTAAATCAAGAACACTGAAGTAATATAATTTTGTTGAGGTTTTCATGTCAGAATAATCACGTATCTTTATTTTTTTAAAAAAATACACCCTTAAACATTTATTTCGTATAGACGATGCAAATAACATAATTCATGCATTTTAAATAGGCTAATGGCAATAATCTTTTTGTCCATTTCGGTCATTTATTTAACATTTCACCTTCAATGAAGAGAAAGAAAGAAAGAAAGAAAGAAAGAAAGAAAGAAAGAAAGAAAGAAAGAAAGAAAGAAAGAAAGAAAGAAAGAAAGAAAGAAAGAAAGAAAGAAAGAAAAAGAAAGCATATGCATGTAGCATATGCATTCAAACGAATAGGCCTATATATCAATAAACTTCGATTGGCAACGTTTTAGTATTTTAAACGGAGCAGCAACAACAAGAACAAAAACAGCACTGGAAGACATTCGCCAAATAGGAAAATGTCTTCTTATTAACATCATTCCAAAATAGTGAAAAATACAACCATATTTCTTTTAATATGCACATTAAAAATTACCATTTTATGTTATGTATGCCAAACGTTTTCTGTATTTCTCGTTTTAATGTTTTCCATGTATAAACACATTTAAATAACAGAATTTAACTTACAGTACATGACAGACTTTAAGTTTTCAATTTCACTCAAATCATTAATTAAAAGTACGGAAAATGATTACGATGAGTCGTCGCAAAAGCATTATCACTGTGATAACATTTAGATTTGCTTTAGGCTATTAAATAAGACGTTGGGCTATCTAAAAATATTTGTTGTCTGTTGTCGAAGTAATAACAATTACAAAGGTCAGATCACATCGTTTACATAAAAGTAAACAAACTAAATAAATTTAGATTTCTTTGTTTATTTTAAACTTGACCTACTTTCATATTTCCTCCGTATTTTATTTGGTATTGCTGTTCAAATTTATGAATATATTTGTTTATTGTATTAAAATGTTTTGTCGTAAACACATGGCTATCAAATCACGTTATACTAAAAGTAGGCTTTTTTAAATATCAAATGTAAGAATCATTTTACCCGTATGATATGGTTGATGTCCGTGATTTATATAGCTCCTAACAGAAATAAATGCTTTTAGATAATTTTTTTATTATACGTTAAGATTGATAAAATATAGGACCTAGATTTAATTAACGTTTTCATTCTGAATTACGAATTATTTGTAGGTTCTGTTTTTCCTATCTTGCGAGTTTAAAAAAAAATAGCTGAAATAAGTGTAAATTTGAACAGAAATCCAAATCCATGCATTTGTCCTAATAATGTAAAGACACACTCATGAACTTATTTATTTCAATTCACAACGTTTACGCTCGAATAAACAGCCTATTTTTCAATCGAATATCATGGGTCAGTAGGTAAACATATCTAATAAGGCTGATCTAAAAAGCTTAGTGTTTTACAGATCACGATTAGCTTAAAAAATCTGGAATGTTTTAGATGTGGTTTAAACACATTAACAGACGTATTTAATGCATTAACCCAGCACAACATATCCTGGGATACCCCGAAGAAGGCTGTCTCTTTGCCAAACAGTGGCGTTTGCTGTAACGTCGCTGTGATGTAGCGATCCATCCGACCAATAGACGGAGCAGCATCCGATTCTGCGAGATCCCCAGCTGACGCGATGCGCTCAACCACTATCTGTATTTTGATTTGCTCCCTAATTGACCCAAATAAAGCCCTCTGTGACAGGGGTTCCACCGACCCCGAGGCACGATCAAAAGCGAAGTCGAACTGGAGCCGGTAATAGCCTACCCTTTCGCGTGTAATCCCATTTGCTATTGTAGTCGTCCAATAGCAGAATGCCCTCCGCTTGTTAAGCGTTTGACTCGACTAGGATTTTTCTTTACTACAGCCCCGCTTCTTTCCGTACTGGCGCCGCGGACGCACAAAGGATAGCGATGGTGGGATATCCGGAAAGAAAGGATTGGTTACTTTTTGCTTAGAGGTATTCACGTATCACCCGACTATTTCTATAACTGGTATATTTGCTCAAGACATGCATGAAAAAAGCCAGCAACAGCACACTTCCACCACATCCAGGGGCTCGTCGTTTTTTATCGAGAATTTGCTTGGCTCTTGTAGGACAGAAAAGCCTGTCTGTCCAATAAAGGATAACGATGGCACGGAGAGAGCGAATGCTCTCAAGCGCTACCCGAACGCATATCGGAAAGAAATGTGCGTTCAAGCGTCCAGCGCGGGCTTCAAGACGGAGATCTCGCCGCTGGAGTGGAAAGGACGCGAAACCTCCAAGAGTAAGTTATGGGATAGACTCGTTCATTCAGTTCATATGGTTAAAATCAAATAGCATAATGCTTTGCTTTAAAACCTAAAGATTTTCTAAACAAAACAGTGATCTCCACATGGGTGACTAATTTAAAAGAGAGCACAAGCTTGAATTGGCTGCGCTTTTCATTAATGGAGCAGACTGACTTGCTCATTATTAGTTCCCAACTGAATAATTATTCTCCGTGTTACTGTACAGAAGCAATTACGCCACTGGCATGTCCACATTAGTTTTAAGCCTCATTAGGTAAAACCAACAAAAGCAGCCCGAATGTGTGGATCCGCTGAATTGCAATGAAAGACTTCCCAAACTCGTTAAAGGCTTAAGAGTGCAATTGGTTTGTCTGATTCGTTAACTCTGTAAAGCTGTGAAAGCCACAGGGAGAGATCCGGCTCCGCATATGGGGACACAATATTGCACATATGGGAGCAGGCCCAGATTATAGCCTACACAGAGGGTATATTTTTGATATGCTGCTGTACAGTACTGTCTAATCAAATAAAATATGCATTTCTTCTCAAACGCTTAAACATTCCATCTAACCATTATTCAGGTCCAAGAGAGGAAAGCCGCAATTCCAGTGAATATTCCCGCAGCGACAGAGACACCCCTTTGGCCTCTGAGCCTCTTGATGGAGTAGTGGACCGAAAAATGAGCGGTTGTGCGGTTGACGAGGGTGACGACGCTCGACAGCTCTTCGATGAGCGTTCGGGGCCAGACACTTCCGAACCCGGCTCAGCCCGAAAGAAAAAGACCCGAACTGTGTTCAGCAGAAGCCAGGTTTTCCAGCTAGAGTCCACATTCGACATGAAGAGATACCTCAGCAGCTCTGAGCGCGCGGGGCTCGCGGCCTCCCTGCACCTGACCGAGACCCAGGTGAAAATCTGGTTTCAAAACCGGCGAAACAAATGGAAAAGACAACTGGCCGCGGATTTAGAGGCTGTTAATTTTAACCACAACTCTCAGCGGATTGTACGGGTGCCGATCTTGTACCACGATAAAGCTACACCCATGTCGACACTCAGTTTTAACGGGTCTCAAGTCTCGCCACCATTAATGGGCTTTTCAAATTCAGTGAACTATCCATTGTCGTCCTTTGCTCATTCAGTGAATTTAATGACATCGCAGATGACAGGCCTTGTCTGATCTTTGGAGACTGGCTGAACTGACAATACAGGAGCCCAATGACAATAATCATATCGATTAATGATTTTGAATGGTGCAATAACTGATACACATATCCTGCTGGAAACCGCAGTAGGCCTACGGATGTCTGCTGCATCCAAAGACAAGAAAACACCTATTATCACAAGATCACACGAGATAGACATGTTTGTGTCAATTGCCACTGTAATGTCTATAATATATAATCTGTGCATGGCGCCTTCACTTATGTAAATAAAATGGCAACACATGCTTTGTGCAAATATATTTTATTAAGAACCACCGATTTATAAGTTTTGTCACTTTTCACACTATAAATTTAAATAAACAAATCACGTTAAATCAATGTGATTTTCCTGTAAATGCTGGTTTTCATGGTTTCTGAGATGTGTGAGCCTGTGTGTGCTTCGAGGTCAAGACTACGGAACAGCTGGGGTAAAAGATCATGTATTATGATTTATGAAATATATGTTTCCACTGGTGTCCAAATTAAACACACAATCAAAATATTACATTTAGATAATCCCACTTGTAAATTATGTAACTATTAGGCATAATCACAAACACGAGGCCTTCATATTTACAGTTCACATATTGAACAGAAAACGCAACATTAAATTAAATCATGTCCTGATTTAGGCTACATAAAGTATTTTAAAGAATATCCAAATTTAAACGAATAAAGCCAAAATACAATAGCTGACAAATCCCATGAAAAGTTAGCCTACTTGTAGGCACACGGCTAAAGCATATTCAGTAGCCTATTAGACAGTACAATAATAAGGCTTAATATGGATAATAAGATTAGACACTTTTGGGACGACATCATTCTATTGTATTAAGACCTGCAAACACTTATTACGGTTTATAAAGTGTTGAAATGTGCTATTTCGTTTTAAAACAGTCCCGAATAAGGAATTCTGGAATACGAAGCTTAAAAGACAATTAAAACTTAATCGTGGTGACCGGGGGCTCAATAAAATAATATTTATTACACATTATCGACCATGTATGCTTTCAATGTTCAAAACAATCATTAGCAAGCTAAATTATTAAAAAGCCACAGAAACTTAAAAATAACTAATCAAATGTATGCCTATATGAATCAGCTAATGAAAAAGTAGCAAAATAGTTAATTTCGTCTGCTAAAGTTCTGAAGAATCGTTTCAAAAACAACGTATTGCCACAAAATATTAACTAGGCTGTTATATGAAAAAGACAAACTTTGGTAAATCATCAGCACACAACCATAGGGGATTCCAAATAGGCTTACGTGCAAATAGAAAATGTAATTTACAGTAGCTATAATTAAATTTATAGGGAATTTAAGGGTCAATTAAAAATATTTGGTATAAGCAATTCAACATTATTTCATCTCCAATTGACACGCCACAACAAGGGTTATCAAACGAACTGGAGAAGGTCGCAAAATTGGCCTCCATGCTAAAATCAGAATTTATTTTCCATTTCTTAAAAGCACTCATTAAAAATAGTAGGCAGCACAGTGTAGTTCAAATATTAAAGTATGTGTGCCAGATGTCTGGATAGGTTTGATCTGAAGCTCCCACCCCCCTCTGCCATTGGCCGCCGTGCTGTCTGACTCTCATGACCAATAAACGATGGAGAATCGTGCTCTTCCGGTCAGTGGACTAACAGCCTAGGCAAACGCAGCAGCACTGCGCGTCGTGGAGCGATGGTGTTCGGAGAATCGAGACGCTAGTTTATGAAACGGGGGAAAAAGAGGCACAGACACGGACCCGCATCTAACGGAGAATATGAGCAAGGAGGACGCGTCATGTCGACCCGCTTCTTTGAAGTTCACCATTGACAATATCCTCAACTCCAAGACGAGCAGCAGAAACTTTGACAGCTGTCATTCAAGGGCATCGCTCGTGGTGTGTCGGGATGGCTGTCTTCATCACCCCGGAGAGAGCGAGGATCCATGTAAAGAAGGGTCAGATGCAAGATTGCATGGCATTGGTAAGATATTGTTTTTGATTTCGGCACAAAACTGCTATAATGTGGTATTTCCAACTGTGATATTTTTTTTTCGTGAACAAACATCAATAGCATCTGCCTGGATTTCAGATAAACTCAACAGAGAGGGGGATGCGACTGTGGACGCGCTCAAAGCCGTCGACATGCGCAGCGAGAGCGCGGACAGCTGCGACGACGCGCAGCAAAAGAACAACGGCAAGAAGAATAAACTGATGACGAAGAAGAAAACGCGCACTATATTTTCAAAAAGACAGATCTTCCAACTGGAATCTACGTTTGACATGAAGCGCTACCTGAGCAGCGCGGAGCGCGCGTGCTTGGCGAACTCCTTGCAGCTTACCGAGACTCAAGTCAAAATCTGGTTTCAGAATCGACGGAATAAATTAAAAAGACAACTGTCTACTGAACTTGAAGGACCGAACAGCGAGTTCGGTGATATTGGAAAGACGGTGCCGCTTCCAGCTTTATATAAAGAGAATAATCTGCTCGGAAGGTGCATGCTTCCAATGCCTTTACCAGTCGTGTATCCTGGAGGTAGCGCGCCTTACTTTTATTTCTCAAATGCCAGCAAGTATTTCAGCCTGTTTGATGGAGATATATGACTTAGTAAAGATCCTCTCACAGGGGACACCGTTTCCTTAGCTCTCATAACAAAATCGACAACACGACCCAACTCAAATTTTAATAAGCATTATCACCCTTTTGTGTGTTTTGCTGAGAACATCGTTGAGCTATCGGTCAGTAAAAAAGCTGGCTTGTATTTCTATGCAAAACTTATTTTATTTATTCTATGCTGTACAAAATTTTATATATAAAACAAGAACACATAGCATATTATACCCAGGCAACCCCGTCATACAGTGCATCACAGTGAGCAGCCATACTGGCAGAAATGCCACAGCCAATCATCCCGTCTTCACATGGAAGAAAGTTTTAACAGATGTTTTGCTGTTTACATTATTATTATTTTTTACATATCCGCTAAAGATTTTCGATGCATGCATTTGTATTTTTAAATGGCCCTCTTTTTTCAAAATGAGCAATTAAACCTATTTAAGTGAATGTATTGGTTATTTTACATCTAACGCATGTTTGTATGTTTATACCTTTTAGATTTTATCGTTTTAATTCCTTTTCAGCATAACCTGGCCGATTATTAGGCTACCAGTATTTACATCATTTATCGAGTGTCATTAAATATTCTGTTTTACACTTTCTTCAAACGAAACTTTTGTGTCTTGGCTTATTTTGTATTAACAACTTGTTGAATTAAATTAATTTAAAAACGCTATTCTGATGTTAAATCAGTTTTGGGATCAACAATCCCAAATCGGTCACACTCACGGATGCTGATTAAACACGTGAGTCGCATGTTTTTGAGGAATTATCTATGGAAAGCTAACAAAATCTCAGAGCAAAACAAAGCAAATTCCGATTACCGAGCCTATTATACTTGGACTAAATCTTGAGGTAACAGACTTCACAGGCGGTTTAGCATATTACACCCGAGGACATGTCCTCTTACAAAATGTAGTCCACTAATAAATAGGTATGTATTGCCTATTGCCGAACCGGAAACAAACTAAAAAAAAATCAACATATAAACATTCGTAAATAAGTTTTCCAAAACACTACAAACATGGTATTGTGCATGAAGGATGCTTTGACAGCGTTCATTATATATTTATTTATTTATTATATTGAACATATAGGCATACATCTATTTATGCATGTTTATATATATATATATATATATATATATATATATATATATATATATATATATATATATATATATATATATATATATTTCATGAATACTAATATGCTTACATTTCTAACACGAAAAACCAACTTTTAAAACTTAAGACAAGAGCATTCCATTGTCCAAACTATTGAAACAATCGGCGTATGCATTAATGCGAAGATTATTCAAAACTGTGACGGTTTTCAAATAGACTGAAACACAAAAAGGTGCCTGCTGGCATTTAGGTCCTGCTCTTCAACTCTGCGATTCACAATTTCTTGACCTAAATTAATTCTTGAAGACGTGGCAAACGGGCAATCATGTCTTCTTTTCTAGCAGTTACTAAATAGCAAGGTTGTGTAAGTAATGAATACCTACACCTTAATACTTGTTCATCCGGAAGCGATTGTGTTCGCTAACTTTATTTGTTCGACAGTTAACCCATGCTTTTACTTTTCATTAATTAGCTGGACAACAGTACCTTTATTTGTACAAATTACATTAGTACAAATTTTGTGGTGTAATTCTTAGCTCAAATTTACTGTGCTCAGCAAATGTCAAATAAAGTGAAACCGATGTTTGCAAAGAAATGATTGAACACTCAAGTTCCTAAAAAACTTTAATTTCATAACATTCCGTTTTTTTTTAGTGCTGGTTATACCCGTAATCTTGTTTAAAAAAAACGCAAATAGTCTTCTATCATTAGCCTGTTTCATTAACCTCATATCTTAAAGAAATAGACTATAAATACTCTTATAACAATATTGTTTACCTCACAGGTCTTAAATGAGACACAGACAGAGCACTTCTTACAGAACAGTCTTAGTATGAAACAGAACCTTTAACTGTAAACGTAAAGTTGGATAAAAGGAGCTCATCTTACTCCAAATGACAAATAAAAGGAAAAAACTGAATAAGATATCACTATAAAAGTGAGGGTGCTTTTTTAATATACTGATTTTCCTCATTCATTTCTGATTTATTTTGATTCTTAGGATTTTCCCAAAGTGTTTAAAGCCACAAACTAAAACAAAGTCAGAACCATAAAGTAAAACAAAACATGTAGTGAATACAAAAATGTTACTTTACATAACAATTAACTTGTTCTTATGTTGCTGTGCATTTTAATTAAATAGAATGAGCATTATAATTTGCCATGGGTTTACATGTGGGAAATTTCTTAGTGAAGCCTTTGCCATCTAAATAATTTTTGAGTTATAATTAATGTTAGTTTTTT